AGTGAAATTACTTATAATTAGTTCTTTTGAGCCTGATGCTAGTATAAATTTACATAAATTAAATAGCGCTTATGTTTGACAAATTGAATAAGTTCAATGACCATACCTGAATGAGAAAATACATGTCCATACCTGATAAATGACCATACCTGAATTATAAGATTCATGTCCTTATCTGAATTATAAGATCTATGACCATACCTGAATTATAAGATCTATGACCATACCTGAATTATAAAATCCATGACCATACCTGAATTATAAGATCCATGACCATACCTGAATTATAAGATCTATGACCATACCTGAATTATAAGCTCTATGACCATACATGAATAATAAGATAAATGACCATTCCTGAATTATAAAATCCATGACCATACAAGGTCCATGACCATACCTGAATTATAAGAAGGAGAGTGATATATTAAGATGCTTTATACTGAGGGACTACTGTATATCACTTTCATATAGCTGAATTTGGAAGCATACTGTATATGCTTGCTTACAAGTTCAATCCAATTTTAAACAGCATATTCTCTGGTCTGCCATACCAGCCTGTGTCAGATGCTAGATTGTGTCTCTAACTAGTCCATGCATTTCACTCACATTGCCTTGTAAGTAAATTTATTTCATATGATGGTGTATTCCTTCTTGCTGAAGAAAAATTGGTCTCCTAGAGGACCACTGCACACTGATGATGATCTCATGAAATTATCCTATATTACAATTCCTTTTCAGTTACTGTATGAAGGTACTGGACAATGACCAGGCTAAATTCCAAAAGGCATATGATATTCTTGGTACAGAGAAACAGGACTCCAAACTAGAGGTAATGTGTGTGTATGTGTATGTGATTTGTATTTTTAACATAGCTTTAAAAAAATTTTCAGTCATATCACTATGATGTCAGCAGTGTAGCAGTTTATGGTGATGTCTGGCACTTGGGGCATCATGCCACAGACATGTAGCATGATGTTCCCACCCATTAACATTATCATGACACCAGGCTGACCAGTCCTAACACTAACCTCTTAATGCTGAACAATTGGCCAGGAAACTGTTAGGACCATTTTTATAAGCATTATAACTCTGCAGTGGTTTGAACCCACAACCTCACACATCCATGGCAGATATTCTAACCACTAGGCCACTGGAGCGGTACTAGAGGTAATGAATTCTGGATGATTTACCTTACCCATTCCACTGATGCATAAAAGCCCATACAAGTCTAAGGATTAAGAGCAATAATTAGCAGTGAGAAGACAATTTTCTTTCTTCTCTTTTTTTCTTGTGGAATAGTTTTTTTTATTATGTAGTCAGTACACTTTCCACATAGTGTGTGCAATTTAATATTTTTGATATGCCAGGATGTTAACTTACCACTTTTTTATGAATCTGATTCGTCCATACAAGCCTCTGATATTCTTGCACAATATTTTCTTTACTGATTGGTTGCAACCATGGGAATTTTCCTTACCCCACCTCATAGAACATTTTTTTTACTATTTCTATCAAAACATTTGGTGGCCCTTGTAAAAGATGACATTGTCTGGGTCAAATGTTCTAATGATAATTTAAGGACAGTTGCACTTTAAATAACGATTTGTTAAACAAAAAATTTTTTTTAAATGGTTATAGAACTGTGTATTAATAATTTAGCTATCATTTGGGTCTATATTACGTGCAACAAATTATTTCTTCTTTCTCTTTAAGCTATTTACATTAAAATAAAAACTCAGTGAAAAACAGAATCTCAAATGGGTAATGATTTAATATTAAATTTATAAAACTCACTTAATCACATCCAGTTTTGATCACCAAGGCTTGTAGTGTCTGGACATTATTCAGCTTGTCTCCTAAATTCAGTCTTAAATCATTACCCATTCAAACTTCTGTTTTTATTGAATATTTTACCATGTGTATATCTGTTGAGTGCAAAATTCTGTATAGTCTGTACCATTGAATAAAAAAGAAATTTTCAGACCCTGGTTTCAAGGATTAGTGGTAGAAAAGGTGAGTCCAAGGGAGATTCTCCCACCCCAGACTGCCAGTTTTCCTCAAGAACTTAACATTAAATCCCCATAGCTTGATCATTATAAGGAGATTATGGTACAGAAAATGTTCTCCTTATAACTCAGGTAAAGTCCAACATTGTGTATATAATTAAGGCAAAGACAGCAGTCATTATATATAAGAATAACTTCATATTTATTCTTCTACTTTGTATTACAGGAAAGTCTCATTAAACTCCTAGGAGGTGAGACATGGGCCTTGATTGGAGTTCAGTTGATGTACTTGAAAAATTTTGAGTACAATATTATGAAACTTCAGCAACAAAAGAAGCCAGTACCAACAAAGACAACAAAGAAGGGAAAGTGAGATGACACAGATACAAAACTGATTCAATATGTGATAGAAACAGTAATCATGAACATATAACTTTTAATGTTACTTTAAAGTTAATGGTTGTGTAACTATTGATTAAATACTAACTACTGAGACTGATGTCAGAAAGAGAGTATGCAATACATGTAAAGCATACAGTAAATGATAGTTATCAGCACAAAAAAAGTGACTGATAATTTTTAAAAGTACAGTAAGTTACTGTTGACTGTATTTAGTTATTGTTTGTATATAGCCACACATCACAACACATTCATACTGATGCAAGCCTCTCTGCATTCACTGATCAATGATGTCCTTTCCAAAAACAAATTCCCATACCAAAACCTATGAAAAAAACCCTTAGACTCATAGAAATAAATTTTAAACAAAATCATGAGTTATCCTGATTTATCTTAATTTGTTTTAGTGAGAGTTTTGCAAATTAAATTAGGAGGACAAATTGTAAATAATGTATAATAATGTATAACAACTTTTAGCTCCTGTTTGTTATAGTAGTTACAATATTTAATTTGTATTTCCTTTATCCTAGTAGATAAATAATTGATTTCATTGCCAATAAGTAATAGATTTAATTGCCAATAAGTAATAGATTTCATTGCCTATAAGTAATAGATTTCATTGCCAATTTTAATAGATTTCAGTGCCAATAGATTTCATTGCCAATAAGTAATAGATTTCAGTGCCATTAGGTAATAGATTTCAATGCCAATTTCTTAAAGATAAAATATCTGATCAGATATAAAGTATTATTGGACTCAATATTAATAATTTGTGAGGGGGAGCTTGTTGGCTGGAACCAGAATATATTCAATTAATATTATGGATAGAACTATTTTATTTTCTCAATTGTCAAGGTACCTTATGTACTCACATATAAGTAGGGTCAAACTGCAAACAACAAATATCCTGATTTGCCATAGCCTAATGTGCCTGCTGATCAAAGTGCATATTGTTTGTTCTAAAACCTTGCACAAACCAAGATTTGCCTGCACATTACGTTATTTGATGGCATACCTGGGTCTGTACATTTTGTAGTTGGACTCATTTTATGAGCAAGTACATACAGTATTTTTAAAACAATTTCCTAGGCATCACTCCTCCAATGAAAAATTAAATTGTCATTCCATTATATGTGAATACCTAGGACAGTCAATGCAATTGTTGGGTTGTATATATTGTGTTGGGTTGTGAATTTTTATAAGTCAATGTATGTATTCAGAACATGTACTCTATGTATTGCATAATAGCCTGGGTTTTCTGAATCTATAAGGAATACATCATCATTATTAGCACAAGATGCATACTGAATTCTACCAGTATACTAATTAATGTTTTAAAAACAGATATTGTATGAATAAAATGATATTGAACATAATACTTGTTCTAGACTCCTGGGATGTTACTCATTTATCTTCATGATGCATGATTTGTTGACCTATTCTGTGCATTTGCCTGAAAAAGATGCAATATTTATATATCTAGCTATGGAAGTGAATACACCAGCTTTGCCTATTTCTGATAGCTTTTTAACTGAGGATCCTGATCAGTTCTATAGTCTTAGAAAAGTAACAGTGCGACTAAACATGTGATAAAACAAAAATGAATTGCATATGGTGTGATTGCTTGTAACTTCTGGATAATAGTCAAATGTAAAAATTTTAAAACAGAATATAGATATTTATAGGAAAGGTCACATGTTTATTTCTCTATATAATGTGGTGGAAGTCTGACAAGTTGACAAGTTAATGCAGATGATAAAGAAAGTGTAGGACAATTTTTAACAAAATTAGCAAATTGGATTATGATGTAATAGTATTCTCGCTCTCACATAAAAACTAGTTTAAAATTAAATTTATATCTCTTTGAATGATTTTAATTAATAAATACCAGATAGGTTTTGATCAATGATAGCATTCTGTAAGAACTTTGGGTCACAAGTTCAAGTAGGTTGGGGCAACGGGCTGTTTTATGCTGAGACTTGGAAGTCACATATCTTTATAAATATTACTTCCCTAAATTAAAGGCTAATCTTTCCTTTTTTACTAATTATAATTTTGACTAAATAAAACATACACCTATGTTTGTGGAAATTTTGCATCATCATAAAGTCTGTTGCACAGAAATGCAGACATGGCAGTATAATAAAGGCAGCAAACCTATGTCTGTACCATACTTGAAAAGTAGCTTCAAGTGTATAGCCATGTTTGTAACTGCCATCAATATTTCCTTATAAGTCAAGTCCAACTGTAGACTATATCCATATAGATCTTCCATCATATATTGTGCTGTAGGATTTGGGCTGTAAGTTTATAAGGAGCAATCACTAAAACTGCAAACAAAATAGACCTTGATATGGAGCATTATGAGATGGCAGATCAGGGTCTATGTTGTTTGCAGTTAAACCAAAATTATTAGCGAGTATGTAGTGTGTATGTGTGTGTGTGTGTGTGTATATATATATATATATATATATATATATATATATATATATATATATATATATATATATATATATATATATATTGTACAATGATTCAGTGGGGTGTGTGGCATAATCAAGTAGCAACTAAATTTACAAACCAAGCAAGAATGCTCCAGTGGCCTAGTGGTTAGAGTGTCCACCTCGGATGTGGGAGGTCGCGGGTTTGAATCCCAGCTGAGTCATATGAAAGACTTATAAAAATGGTGCTCCAGCTGTCTTGCTTTGTGCTCAGCATTAAGAGGTTAGTGTTATGACTGGTCAGCCTTCTTTCAGAATAATGTGACTGGGTGGGACATAATGCTACATGTCTGCGGCATGTTGCCTCAGTATTAGACATCACTATAAACTGTCACACTGCCGACATTGTAGCGATATGACTGGATGATTGTCAAAGCTTCATTAAAATCCAAAACATGCACACACATACAAAACCAATCAAACTGTAACAAAGATCTTAAAGCTTTTATTTCATTGAAATTAACATGCAAAAATAAGATAACTGACCTTAAAAGTTGGAATTTATGGCATATGAATTAAATTAATTAGAAAAACAAGACATGGCATCAGACTGAGCTAAAAGAAAGGACGTCTATGTGACCTAAAGTTGGCACATTTCATTTTAAGTATATTTGTATAGTAAAAAAGAGACTAACATGCATATATTGAGCATAGTTATTGCAAAGTGAATCACCTATATATATAAAATGTTAAGATTAATGTAGACAAGAATAAAACTACAGCCAATGATGCAAATTTATAGAACAAGTTCTTTTCCAATTTTTAATCTTCAATATTTGGAATACATAATAGAGGAGTTATTTTAATTTGACAGAATAATTGGAGATGATAAAAGGTTCAGCATATCACCAAGTACAGTTTTTCACTTTTATAAGCTCAGGAAATAAACTTGATTATAATTTTTTTATCCTAAGAGATATAATCTGTGATTTTGATTCCTTTTTTTAAAATTGGAATAAATGTTATATTATTTTGATACTATGTCATTTTAAATATTGTAGTATTTATTTGGTTAAGAGAAATTCAAAATTAAATATTTTTTTAGTTTAATAAATATGAGTTTTTTGTGTTTTTGCTTTAATAAAATAATTAAGATAATGGTATTCACTTATTATTTGTTGATTAGTTTTTTTTTCACATCACTCATTAACACTGCATGAAAAGATAAGTTTGATATCAATAAATCAAATAGCTGTTCTCTTTCATTTTCTGACTGTTCCAGTGGCCAAAGTGGTTAGAGCATTCTCCTTGGATGTGGGAGGTCATGGGTTCTATCTCTGGCCTTGTTGTATCTAAGACTGACAAAAATTGTATTAGTATCTACCTCATTATAAGCTTAGCGTTAAGAGGTCAGTGTTTGGACTGGTCTGCCTGGTGTCAGGATAATGTTACTGGGTGGGACATCTTCCTGACAGGCAATTGTAAAATACGGATATCGTACATAAACGCTGTGTTTTTGTGGCATCACTCCATATACACCGACCGATCAAATAAGCTCAGCCCAAAAGCATAAATTAGTGGCAAAAGCTCTAAGTTAGCGTAGGCGACTTTATTAACTGTAAGTCAGCCAAGCTTTAGAGTAAAACTGAAATAGTACAAATTCAAGATTAATCTCATTTCCATCACTTCAGCTTCGGAGATAATTTCAATCCGTCTTTTGTAAATTCAATAACAAGGCCATGATAATTACATTTAAATTATATAAACAACACACGAAAAATAAATACATAAATAGGATAGTACACAAAATGAAAGAGAAATACCAAACACGCACGCATTAAGAGTATATATCATACAACCTAGACATTCCGGGTCTTTTGATATTTTTTCCGTTCTCTTCCGGAAAGGTTTAAAAAAAAATATTACATATATTAATAGACCTTCAGTTCGATCAGAAAATCCCTTACAGCAATGCAGGACTTTTAACAATATTTGCAACATCAACACCACCACACCAAGATGGCTTATTAGATGATTAATGGACCTGAAGAGCAAAGGTCGCTATTTGATCTAAAACTTGGAATATAAGAAAGACAAAGGCAGAGAAACCTACCCGTATAGGTTCATGCATGAATGAAAGGAGAACAAACCTGGGGACTTATTTCTGGACTTGCCAAAAGTCCAGACAGGACAGTGAACAATATTATTCAAAGAAAAGCCTTAATCCCAAATTATTTTTCTACATAACTTTTTAAGGATAATACCCTAACAAAAGCGTGGCAGGGAAAATGTATATAAAAGCATTTGAATTTAGAAAATATGAGGTACCATTCCTAAAGCTCCAAAAAGTTTCATGTGTTCCTACACCACAAAGGAGATTTTTGTTTTTATATGTCAATATTTTTGTATGTCAACATATTAACAAATTCATTCTGTAGAGGTGTAGAAAAGACTGCTGGTTTCGAAATGGAATACGAGTTTCTTCAAGTGACTTTTCTGCATTTCAGACACAGAGACCAATATCTTTGTTAGCAAAAATGTTAATGAATTCTTTCACTAATTTTTATAATTATGACAGGCGAGAAAAACTTACAATAACTAATTCCAATAACTATAAATATTATTCCAAAGTAATGACATTTCAAATGTAATCGAATATAAAACTTCAATGACTTTATTACAAAGAATAAAGTACCTAATTCAACTGAGAGAATATTTCAATTTTAGTTTATTAATTGCGAAAATGTAAAACAATGTTGAGTAAATACAATCAACACAAAACGGAAGATAAATGATGGAGAAGTCGATATATTTAAGTGGAAATAAAGCTTGCCTATTGTTTCATTATTCTATTCCTAACAGCGAACACAATTATATTTTCAAAAGTATTTTGAGATTTAATTTGTCCCCATTGTTAAAGAATATTCCTTTTCTTAGAGAAATTGGTTAGTGCACTTAGATATTTTAATCCCTTAATTTCGGTAATTTATTGTGTAATTCTCAGAGAGAGAGAGAGAGAGAGAGAGAGAGAGAGAGAGAGAGAGAGAGAGAGAGAGAGAGAGAGAGAGATCTTCTTACGGGAACTACTCTTACAAAGACTTCCTTGTCGTGAATTCTCAAGACAATTATGACAATATTTTTGTAAACGTATGCCTTTATTTTTCACATAAATACAACGATATTAATACACTAACAACAACAAACCAGACCATAGTTCATACTTAATGGGAACATAATATCCAAAACGTAGTAACGCGCGCTACACAATGATAGGACAAAATGTACGTTGAGAAATATTCATATATGTAAAAATTATATGTAATGCAATAAAATCTCTCAAACTAGCCACCACCACCACCACTCTCTCTCTCTCTCTCTCTCTCTCTCTCTCTCTCTCTCTCTCTCTCTCTCTCTCTCTCTCTCAAATGATTAGTACAGTAAATGTATTAGTTCTTATATAAATCAATAGCACTATTTGCTATAGTAAGTACACCATCAGACCAGCTATCGTGTACATCAGGTTTAGTTAATCAATACAAAAACAAATTATCTTTTAACAGAAAACGTTTTGAAAAATGTAGCGTCTATGGAATTAAACCGCAAAAACACAAAACTGTTATTTTAGGAATTTGCTTCTACACCTTGAATTATTCGAACGATTGATTCATTTCAGAGCATCCTTTTAATATTGTCACAGTAATAACAGACATAACAGCTCATCATCTGAAATCTTCACATTAGCCTTTGTGACCGTTCCGTGTCGGAGTCTACGTCCTGGGACCTTACTCCAGTCGGTTAGTGCACATAAAACGTCTAATCTCTAAAGTTCTCGTATTATTCTCTTTTTTTAGGAGCTTAGTTTTGTAAAGTTTTCTTAGAAATATCTCTGTGAAGTTTAGAAACGATTCACAAAATACAAACATGGTTCTATAAAAGTATGTTTTTTTTAACATAGACATAGAATCCAAACACATTTTTTTATAACAACGGACTAAAACTTGATTTATACTTAACAGGAACATAATATCAAAAGTTTTTAAGTACGTGTTAAATAATTAAAACAACTCTAAGGTATCTCGAGAAAATTTCGTAGAAGTAAAGTCTCTCTCTCTCTCTCTCTCTCTCTCTCTCTCTCTCTCTCTCTCTCTCTCTCTCTCTCTCTCTCTCTCTCCCTCTAATACAGTAAAGATAACAATTCTTATATACATTAACTTCACTATTTTCTATTCCGAGTACATAAATAGGTCAGTATAAGGTTTGGTTAAACCCGACGCTAAAGACTAAACATTACCTGTTAACAGTAAAACTGAAGCAAATACAAAATTACCTGTTAAAAGTTAAAGTGGAGCAAACCTAACGTCTAATGACTCAAACTAACAAACATTGGTTTCTAATTTTAATAGATTTCTCTCAAAGTCTGTTCCAACAATTACTTCTTTTCAGAGATTCTTTTCATAATGATACAGTAAATAGTTTATGCAGAATATAACAGCGCATCATCTGAAATCCGGACATTAGCCTTTGTGACCATTCTGTGCCCGAGTCTCCGTCCTGGGATCTTACTCCAAGCATAGTCATAATTCTGAATGTCCAAAATTATTTTCTTCTGATTTTGTCGTCTTTTCAACACAACTCGCCTTATGTACACTTTGCAGTTCCTTTTAATTACGTCATCGATCTGTGCTTTGATATCAGGCTTCCCTACCAATTTCCTCTCCCAATTTCTGCAAGATTTCACAAATTTGCTAAAAACAACAAATTTCTTTGCGCGAAATTTCATTTGCACTGCCACTTCATAAAAGGCCGTTACGTTCATTTTCCCGCCGAACAGTTCTCGTCTTATGTACCCACTTCCGTCCCCGCATCTCTTTCTCCACCTTGACGCAGAGCATTCTGGTGCGTCGGGAACAATTGCCACTTGCCATGGAGACCAGTTGAGATCCCTCAGCATAAAGTTTGTCTCTGGTACATTTTCTCTTTTCAGATGTGGATCCGTTTTATGACGTTCCTATTAACAGAAAGGTACATGTGTTGATGTGTGATACAAACTAAACTGAACTCAAACTTTGTCAAAGGAATGGTTTGATTTTACATAATATTTCAAACTTCAATCGTATTATTAAACAAAATTAATGTTTATTTTTTTTTATCTACATTTTGATAAAACTCACTGAGAACGGAACATTTTACAGTATGCTGTCTTTTTATTCCTTAATTATTTCGT